AAGTAGTGATTTATTATGCTTTTTTTACTTTATGAAAACCCATTAGTTACACTATAAAAGTTGCAAATAAAAGAAAGATTACTGTAGTATGTTTTACAAGAACATGCCATGTCAGTTTTTAAAATGTTCCTGTTTAATTCGATGTGTTATTTGCTGATTCTTCGTAACTGAAGATTCAGATTAAACTGCTTGATGCATATGGATTTCTTTAACGATCTCTGCATTTTGAAGCATTAATATTTTGCATAAAATGGACTTTCAATGGATGAAACAGGTTTCGTTAAAAATAACTATATTCGTTTTTTTTTGAAGATGAAGCATGAAAATGAGTAAATGATGACGGCATTTTCATCTTTAATCCTCTGGTGGTCTTCTATGGAAACTTGTTTCTGCCACAAGATAAAGCAAAAAAGGTGATTGTGACTCATACATTTTCTCATAAATCTCTTCAATCTAATTCTGACTTTTTTCCCCCTTAGAAATTAAAGATTTAAACTCAGGGTTGAGAGATATAAATGTGCAAAAGTGCAAATTGTGAGAGAAAAAGTCAGAATTGTGAAATTGCCTTTTTAAAATTTTTATTCCATGGTGGAAACAAGCTTCTATTTAGACCAAAAAACATTTTAGGTTAATATGAAAAATATGAAAATACAGCACAAATTTTACAGCGAATATTAGGTTTGTTTTTCAGTCTGTTTTGACCGCCAAATATCACAAGTGGGATCCTAATCCTAATCAGTGTTTAGGCTATTTTTCCTCTTCTTGTGCCGGTGTGGTTGTGTCTACCTTCACCCACAGCCACTCTGCCAGCACTTCAACCCCCCAGTACGGGTAGAGCTCTTCTCTGATGAAGCGCAGGTGCTTCGCCCGGTTAGTTACCCACGTAACCACCAAGCATTCTGGAGCAGCCAGTGCTGGAACTGGAAGCTGCTTGAGCTGAGACGACGGTAGAGAGCTGTATCTGTCAATCACAGCAGGATATCACTTCAGTCCACAGCAATGCATTATTACAGGTCATATAACAGGTAGGAAATACACTTATACCTGTTGCTTCTTTTGACAGATTTGTTCTCCCATGGTGGATCAAGGACTATAAGGTCAAACCTGTCTTCACCTGTAGTCAAAATACAGCAATATGCAACACTAACAGATCAACATACTGAGGTGTAGAAGCACAGTCAAGACATGTTGCCAAATAATCGGACCCATGGGAAGCAACATCCAAAATAAAAATAAAAGTGATAATAATAGATAATAAATTATAAAAAGAGGGACACATTTGTATGTGATCCCATTGGAATCTGTTCCAAACTGACATGAAATTCCAATAAGAATCCTGTTCAGATTCCTTTACGTTTTGTTGACGCAGGTTAATGTAAGAAATGTTTAAAGCGTTAAAAAAAAGTCAAAAAAATATCACTGAAATTTGATCTGTTTTAGCAAAGATATATTATTACTGTATATATTTAATACAATGAACCTGTAGGGTCACAAAATCATGCAAAATTGCCAGCATTTAAAGTAGTATAACAAAAAACAAGTTTACAATAAGGTCCTGTTAGTTAATGCATTACCCAACATTAATTAACTAACATGAAAAACTAAATACTCTATGGTACTAGAATAGTAAATTAAAATTCTGTGATTGAACTCACTCTTGGTAAGTGGATGCATACGTGTGATGTCAGACAATAGGAACCGGCTGCGGGGCGGCAAAAGATACTTCTCCTTCATCAACGTGACCTCATAAGCACAGTCGAATGGGTTTTCAGTGATGTATGAGAACAGATCCAGCGATGGGTCCAGACCATCTCTGTTCAACGTCTGCACTGGTGTCTCCACAGAATCATCTGTTAACGGGAGCTGCTTGGCCATGTCACATAACGCAGCTAGCCGGCACTCAAGTGATGACATGGATTCAGAAGGTGGTGTGGTCAAAACGTCTGTCAAGTATCCACACTGACGTCCAGCTTCCAAAAGAGCCCGAGAGCCCTCCAGAACCACCAACCTGATCTGAGAAAAGATCAAAACAAGCCATAGAGGACAAAAAAGAAGGAAAATTTGTATGCTAAAATGACAAGTAAAACAAAAGGAATGAAGGAATTATGATTGAAGGAATTTCATAATTTGGAATCACTCCATTTTCAGTATGCACCGAGTACTGTACATGAAAGATCTACTAACAAACGTTCAATGTCGTCAGTACTTAGTTTAAAAAAGTTAGCAGCATTCATGGTTTCAGATCATGAATGCAGTTGTTCTTTAATGATTTTGAGGTAGAAGGAAATATATGCCATGCTGCCGAATAATCAGACCCATGGGAAGCATATCAAATACAAAAAAGAGAAGTGGACCAAGAACCGAGCCTTGAGGAACACCTCAAACGGAAACAGTTTACGATGTCTGTTTTTTAATACAAACAAACTGCTGCCTATCACGAAGACAGAATATGCCAAATTAAAAAGAGAAGTGGACCGAGAACCGAGCCTTGTGGAACACCTCAAACGGAAACAGTTTATGATGTCTGTTTTTTAATACAAACTAACTGCTGCCTATCACTAAGACAGAATATGCCAAATTAAAAAGAGAAGCGGACCGAGAACCGAGCCTTGTGGAACACCTCAAACGGAAACAGTTTATGATGTCTGTTTTTTAATACAAACTAACTGCTGCCTATCACGAAGACAGAATTTGCCAAAAAATGCAGTACAACAGAATATAACGTGTGGAATACCATATCCCACCGAGCAATACACTTAACTTAACCTTCCAGTGAACTCCACTTTCATTTTCCAGTGTGACAAATTTAGATTTACTTTTTTTCTTGAATCATTATTTTATCAGATTTTTCTGACCATTTTTAATGTATACAATGCAAAATGACCAGTTTGCCACACAGAATTAAACATTAGGGTTGATTGAAGTCATGTGACAATTTAGTCGTACTGTTGTACTATAATGTTCGCCATATATATATATATTTTATCTACAATGCACAATTCCTAATGTAGGAAAATTATAATAATAAAATAAATATAATTTGATCCCATTACGATTAGTTTTTAAATGATTATGATGCAATTATACACACTGCTTAAAGTTTTGCTGATGCAAGAAATTAATAAAGCATAAAACCAGCCAATTTGGTCACCTTTCCATGATAAATTTGGGCATCTAACTCTCCTGTATTAAGATCACGCTGCTTTCTCTTTCGTTTCTGCAAATAAAGAAACAAAAACCCCAGTAAAGAATCATACAGCAACCTCCAGACTTTTTGTAAATAATCAAGCACAGTATATCAACTAAAATGACAATAAATAAGTGTTTTGTTCTGCTTTTTCTGTTGCATACCTTTCGTGTTTGCAGATCAATCTTTGCATGTTTAGCAGTGCTTGCCAAGATATCAGTGTTTGGTTGAATCTGAACGTGGGGTGTCACCGTATTAAAATACTCCCTCTTGAAACAGCATCTGAAGTATTTAGGCTTCTCAAGCCCATCACTGTAAGCAACACAGCGCTGCAAGCCCTCATCGATGTGAGAGCAGGAGTCCAGCAGCCAGCCGCAGGAGTGCGCACACACTACAGACATTCACAAAGCAATCACATAAAGCTCATCTCATGCGTGCTGCTGCTGCTGCTGCTGCTGCTTCTTCTCCAGACGCTTGATTGTTAGGTTGCAAGCCAGCTTTCGGTGCATTAGCGCCACGGACTGGACTAGTGTGCAGTATCAGCGTGAGAGTTCATCTGTGACATTCATTACATTACTTAATTATTAATAAACAATTATTATTTTATATGATTATATATAATAAAATCGTTGTATAATTGTATATATTATACATATATTTATAATAATTATATATTTATTTATGTATAATACAATAACAATAAAAATTGAAATTATATAGAATGTATTATTATTAGTAATTTATTTGTATATAATGATATTTTCTATTAAATAGTGGTATATTCATTTACAAATAATAAAATAAAATATATTATTATTATTATTATAGAATGTTTTGATTTCTTATCTAAAATAATTATTTATTCAGTCATATATAATAAAATAATATTATGAATAAATTATCTTTTTATTATTATTTTTATATTTTTGTATAATTTTATAAAATAATTATTTTACATTATATATATAATTGTATAGCCATTTTTATACAAAAAATATATTAATTTCTTCTATAATTATACATAAAATCTTTTTTTTAATATAATTTTCAATATAAAATAATTGTTTATTTACTCATTCATATATTATACATATATTTATAATAATCGTATATTTATTTATGTATAATACAATAACAATAATAATTGAAATTATATAGAATGTATTATTATTAGTAATTTATTTGTATATAATGATATTTTCTATTAAATAGTGGTATATTCATTTACAAATAATAAAATATATTATTATTATTATTATAGAATGTTTTGAATTCTTATATAAAATAATTATTTATTTAGTAATATATAATAAAATAATATTACGAATAAATTATCTTTTTATTTTTATTTTTTATATTTTTATATAATTATATAAAATAATTATTTTACATTATATATATATATACATATAAAATAATTGCATAGTCATTTTTATACAATAAAAATATATTAATTTCTTCTTCTATAATTATATATACATTTTATTTTATATAATTTTCAATATAAAATAATTGTTTATTTATTCATTCATATATAATAAAATAATATTAAAATCAATTATCAAAAAAATCAATAATACTATTACTACTAATAACAATTTATTTTATATAGTTATATATATATAATACAATATTTTTTTTTACAATGTATGTATATAATTGTGTATTAATTTATGCATTATAAAATACAATTATATAAACTTATTATTTATTTATTTGTGCTCGCTTCACACTCCATCCTGTAGGGGGCGGAGTTTGTCGTGTAGGATTGTGTGCCAACCGCCGTGAAACAACAGAGAAGAACTAATGCTGCCGCAGGAAGACGGAATTCGGGTTGATGTTCCTGGCGCGAAGTCTTTAAGTTTACAGACTTCATAAAATCAGCACGTTACTCTTGAATATTAGTCTGAATATCAGACGAGTGGACATCAGACAACACATCTACACCTGAAGATAAACATGTCAGAGACGAAGCGGTGAGTTTTTATCGTTGTTATGTGTCAGAGGTCGCTGGTTTGGCATCGAAATCGAAAATGGCGGAGGCCGGAGCGGAGCGAGACCGGCGGAAAAACGCGCCGAGGTCGGTGTGTGTGTACGACTGCCGCTCGGAGAGCCGCGACGCGTCGACGCCGACGCCCCCGACGCTCCTAGACACCGCGGAGCTGGACTACAGCGGCTTCCTGCGGGCTCTGAGACAGGTAACCCCGCGTTTACCAGAGCAACGTTACTTCAGCGCGAGTCCTGCATTAAACGCTTAACTGTCACCTTCCGTTTTTTAAAACAGGCATGAAAGTGCTCTATCCAAACTCAAATTGCTGTAATTTAGTAACAATTAATGAATAGAATATAGATAGGCTGTTGTTATTATTAATAATGATAGTAATGGTAGTGATAGTGATAATAATAGTAGTATTAATAATAATAATAATAATAATATTGTTGTTATGTCTCCTCTCTGGGCTGTAGATGGAGGAGCTGCATTGAAAGCACGAGCAAAGAAAATCAGTAGATTATTGCAAAAGAGGCACTATATTTTATTTATTATAAATATTTTGCATAATAGGTTTTACTCTAAAATTGGTATAACGTTAAAGCCTTATGTCTAAATAAGTTATGTTCCAAATTTGAAGTTGATATGAAAAAAATTGAGGTTCCTGTGAGATTGTATTTCGGGGCGATTTTATACCACAAACAGCCACGCAAACTCCCATTAAAAACTTTTTCTGTCACAAATGTCTAGATTTCTCTGTCAGTATTACGTCTAGCTCAAAATAACCACTAAATATGGAATCCTGAGACTCAGACCTCTCCAGTGAGATGTTTCTTGTCAAGATTATAAAAAGGTTTGATTGTTAAAGAGCGTAATGCATTTTGTAATGCGACACTTGACACCGCCCACTAAGGGGGAGGAGACTGCCAAAAGATTTTAAAGTACCATTTCTATGGTAACGCAATGTCCGATTTCAAAATGGGTTTCAGAGGATGAATCTTGGGGCTTCTAAGCTTTCGAATGATATATGATTTATGATGATTACTAAAAGATTTGATAGAGAAAAAGGACAACAACAACAAAGAGCGCCAAGCGTCCCACAGGTGGGACGGTGACAGTTAAAGGGTTAAACCGTGTTTAATGTCATGGTTTTATTTCGATTTCAGGAGTTTTCCCTGTCGGCAAATGAGACTTTTGTTATTAGCACGACGGACCGAAGAGAGATCGACTCAGAACTTTACAGTAAGAGCTCGAAAAGTGTTTACTTATTAAATATTATAGTTATTTAGTTGCCTGTTTTCATTGTGGCGTTTTTATTTTTTGCCCTTTTGTTAGTTTTTAAGTAATTTTGATTGTGGTGTGTTCTGTATTTTGTTTACAGATGAAAATGTAAAAATAGTAACTTTCAATGTATTCACTGTTTTTTGCAGCAAAAGCTCTAAAACGTTTATTAAATTAAATATTATACTTTTATAAAAAAATAAAAAATTAATATATTTTTTTATTTAAAAACTAAAAAAGCAATAATATATTAGATTTTCTTTTAATTTACATGTTCATTTTGTTATATTGAGTTTTTAAATATAAATAAAATCTAAATTTTATTTCAGAAGTGAAATTTAAATTGTATTTAAAAAGTAAATAAGTGAAATTATTATTGACATTGCTAATTTTGTTGTTTACAGTTTTGCATATGAAAATGTAAAAAAAACAATAATACATGTGAATGTAATTTTTTCACTTTTTTGTTTTACTGTAAAAGCTCTATAAGTTGTACATTAAGTATTTTTTTTTATTAAATATTAAATGTACATTTTATTTCATTTTGTTTACAGTTTCTCAATATATTTGTATATATTTCATATATTTATATATTTTAAATGTCAAAACTAATATTTATTTTTATTTACATATGTTAATTTTCTTGTTTACACTTTTTAAATATTTTTTAATGATTTTAAAACCAAAACGTAAATTTTATTTGAAAAAGTCATTTTAAATTCTTATTGACGTTCAATTAGGGCTGTACGATTAATCGAATGCGATTGTCATGCGCATTTTGTTAGTAAAGCCGGTTCTGTAATCAACAGTAAATCATCATCACGTGCTTTCAGATGGAGCAGCATTTATTACACAGAGCCGTAGTTCACTGACAAGCTACGCAAAATAATCGAAGAAATCGTTGGCGATAATGACAGCTGTTTGCGTAGCTTCTCAGTGAACTACGGCTCTGTGAAGTAAATGCTGCTCCATCTGAAAGCATGTGAAAATACCACATTTAATAACATATTTTTACTCCAAACTCACTTCATAACGTCAGTCGAGTGTTTGAAATAAATCCTTCTGTGAGATAATGTCTTCTTACACAGAATCAGGCACAAAACATATTTCATAGTATTTAAGCAGTGATAAAGGCATTGCATTATAAATATACTCCGATAAACCGTATATTGCCGTAGTCATGTGTTTATTAGTCACGCTGAATCAATGAAAGCAGTTGAATCTTCTGTTTATTCAGCTGCAGCGATAGGCATTTTCTGGGTTTCTTCTGCGAGGCGTATTTGGAGATTCTCTGGCCTTCGGATGGAGATTTACTGCTGATCACAGAACCGTGCTTCACTGAAAGATACGCATGACAATCGCAGCTTCTGTCGAATCGCCATCTCGATTCCATTTCGATTTATCGTGCAGCCCTACGTTCATTTGTTGTTTACGGTTCTGCATATGACAGTACGAGGAGTAAAAATAGTTTTCAATGTTTGTTGGCACTCTTTCAGAAGGGTTTAATTGATGTACTGATGTGGATTTGTATCTGTTTTGATGCTACAGAGGAGCTGGTGGATGGGAAAACCTTGCACCTGTTGAAGTCTGTGGATCAGGAGCTGACTGCGGCGACTCAAGAGCGGATTGAGTTTCTGCCGCACTACCATACTCTGGTGCAGTGTGGCATGTACGAGTACTACGCTAGTGAAGGACAGAAGGCGCTGCGTAAGTCTGCGCATCCACCTCTGCCGTGCATGAACGCGGTGCCAGTCTGATGTGCTGTGTTTCTCTTTCTGTTGTGTCGCAGCCTATGCCTTCGCTGAGCTCATCGATAACGCGCTGTCAGCCACCGCAAGAAACACAGGAATCAGGAGAATTGAAATCAGATTGGTGAGAATTCAAACCCGAGTGAACTGTATCAGTGTTATTGTTTTACATGCTAAATGTAGACTTACATTGACAGTAGGGCTGGACAATAATTCAATATCAATATGTATCGCGATATAATTTTTTTCAATAATGGTGATATGATTTTTAAACACATTTCCGATATTTCGATATGCATTACCAGTTTTCCCATACATTGATTTATTTGTGCCGTTTGACTTCGTTGAATAAACATGAGCACTGCATGTTTCAAAATCATAGTGTTTTATATGAATGTATCTCTGAAGGGAATTGACCGTCTTCAGAAAAGTTTCGATGGCATTTTCATTTGATCTGATAAAGAAGCGTTCATGAGCGGAGCTGCTTTGATTACAGCCGTTACTGGAGAAACCGCTAAAAGCGCCTCCTGCTGGCAGAGAATCAGTTTTCATTTTCAATAAGCCCGTCTCCAGCAACATTTCCAGTTTTTGTTGTTGTTCAATTTTTTTGTTTTCTGCAGCGACTCGGAGCACTTTTCATACCCTTTTTTCTGGCTGAAGCACATTTGTTTCAATCTATAAGAATAATCAGCCTACACTACCAGTCAAACGTTTTTGAACAGTAAGATTTTTAATGTTTTTCTTTTTTTTTTTAAGAATTGTCTTCTGCTCACCAAGGCTACATTTAGTTGATCCAAAGTACAGCAAAAACAGTAAAATGTTGAAATATTTTAACTATTTAAAATTGCTTTCTATTTGAATAGATTTTAAAATGTAATTTATTCCTGTGATCATAAATAGCTAAATTTTCAGCATCATTACTTCAGTCTTCAGTGTCACGTGATCCTTCAGAAATCATTCTAATATGCTGATTATCAATATTTAAAACAGTTGAGTACATTTTTTTTTTCAGGATTCTTTGATGAGTAGAAATATCCAAAGATCAGCATTTATCTGAAATATAAATCTTTTGTAACATTATACACTATTCCATTCAGTATAATTTTTATAATTTTTTTGGGAAAGAAATTATAGAAATTAATACTTTTATTTAGCAAGGATGCTTAAAATTGATCAAAAGTGATGATAAAGTCGTTTATAATATTACAAAAGATTTCTATTTCAGATAAATAGTGTTCATATCGATATCGGAATTATATCGTATCGACCGAAATTAAGAAATATATTGTGATATCAATTTTGGCCATATCGTCCAGCCCTAATTGACAGTAGTAATTAAAGATTAAGATTTAGTTTCGAAACGAAATGCAGAAGCGCATGTTTGGCAGTATTTTGGATTTTGAAAAGGCTGTTGACTTTTGCCGTTTATATATAAGGCGATTTTGTGAGTCTTTTTTTTTTTTTTTTACTTTAGTTTCTTATTTATTTGGTTCCACAGTGTTTGCTGATTTTTAGTGTATTTAAACTTTGTGTAATTTATTTATTTTATTTGACATCAAGGTGTATGCCGTGCCTTTCTTATCCATTTAGCTAATAAATGCTCTGTTTCTTATTTATTTTATATAGATATATATATATATATAAACTTTGTAAGTTTTTAAATTTATATTAGGTCTATAGCATGGTGTATCTTTATTAACAAAAGTTCTATGTTTAATATAAGTGAGTTTGTCGTTGTCCATCAAAGCAATTGACGCCGAATTGCTGCTAATTCGAAAGTGAAAGTAAAATGCACACAGGCATTTACAAGCTATTAAAAGTGAAAGAAAGCAAGGAAAAGAGAGAAAACTTCAACGAATCATTCTGATATGCTGATTTGCTGCTCAAGAAACATTTCTTTAAAAAAAAAAAAAAATCTGTTTTTGATGGATCATGTTTTTGAGGAAGCCATGATACATCTTTTCTGGATTATTTTTTTCTAAATAAAAAGAACAGCATTTATTTGAAATGGAAATATTTTGTAAGATTATAAATGTCTTTACTGGAGCTTTTGATTTTATGTGTCCTTGTTGAATTTAAGTATTAATTTCTATAAAAAAGAAAAGTACTGATCCCAAACTTTTGAATGGTAGTGTACATATCACATTAGGGCTGTAAATTAATTGATTAATGCAAACGAAACATTACAGATGGAAGGTCTGAGGCATTTAAATGTTAGATGCTCTATGCCATATGTTTATTGCACACTTAATTAAGTTAAAAAGCATAATTTTCAGTTTATATCATGTTACCTAAATGATAATCAGCTCTATAAGCATGTATTATAGGGCTATTACATGACTATATGACCCTGGACCACAAAACCAGTCTTAAGGGTCCATTTTTTAAAATTGAGATTTATACATCATTTATACATTATACATTTATACAACTATTTGAAAATCTGGAATCTGAGGGTGCAAAAAAATCAAAATATTGAGAAAATCATCTTTAAAGTGGTCCTAATGAAGTTCTTTGCAATGCATTTTACTAATCAAAAATTAAGTTTTGATATATTTACGGTAGGAAATTTATAAAATAGCTTCATGGAACATGATCTTTACTTAATATCCTAATGATTTTTGGCATAAAAGAAAAATTTATAATTTTGACCTATACAATGTATTTTTGGCTATTGCTAGAAATATACCCCAATGACTTAACACTGCTTTTGTGCTCCAGGGTCACATATAGCAAATACATATTGGGGTGAATTAGATCATATATAATTAGATAAACCCACAAAATCACAAAAATAGTTCAGTTATATAAAAAATTTACATTTCTCTTTAACATCTTTTCATTGAGCTGATACATTCAGAGGCAATGCGTTCTCTTTTCTGCATGCTATTCTTGCAGTGTTTTAATTTGCCAAAACAAATAAGGTCCGTAATAAAGGAGCGTAATTTTGGAGCAGGAGTGTGGTTATGATGTCTAAAATGTTATATATCTAGTTAGCTCGTTATGGTTTGATGCTGGTCATGCTAATGCATTTTGCATGCATTTCCTTTTTTTGCGATATTGCATGAAAATATGACACATTTTATAGTCATCTGAGAAAAATAACGTTCAATTCATTCAGTGCATTGTTATGGGCAAGCAGTACTTTTTGTGACACATATTGACCAACTATTAGTCTCCATGAACTGGATGTTTTGCTCTCTCTGTGTGTTTTTCAGCTGTTTGATGAGTCTCAGGGAGGACCTGCTGTTGTGGTGATGGATAACGGCTGTGGAATGACATCTAAACAGCTGAACAACTGGGCCGTTTATCGTCTATCTAAGTTCATACGAGAAAACTGCATAAAGAGGTGTGCTCTTCAGAAAACCTGTGCTTTTTCTTGCCTATGACTCATTATTCTGGTCATGCAATGCAGATTCGAGCCTCTTCCGATGTGAAATAATATCTAGCTGAACTGTACTGATTGTGTGATGCCTATAACATGGTCTTATGGAGCTTGCCTTGATAAAACCATCAGCTTTTTTCCTCTTCTTTGTTGTTGACGCAGTGAAGAAACCGGTTACGTGCGGCCGGATCCAGTTCCACGCAGTCTGAACAGTGACATCTCGTATTTTGGAGTCGGAGGCAAACAGGCTGTGTTTTACATCGGCCAGTCTGTCAGAGTATGTTTGCATGCAGTTTGTTCACTTTTATTTAACAAATGTCACACTTGCAATACATCTATTGTGTTCATTTGCATCAGTTTTCATTAAAGCACAAGTGCTTTCTCCTATCCCAGATTAATATGCGGAGACAACAAGCGAGCAAGAAGTGTGAACACTAGGGCTGGGTATCGTGTTTGATACTTTTTAGGCACAGAGCGAATTGCCTCAATACCATCAAGTATTGAAAAAATGCAGGGTTCGCAAAATCGCTAGCCCGACGTCCCGGGGCTATTGTGTTTTCCAGTCGGGCTACCAAAATATATCACTGCCCTGCCCGATGAGCTATCTTGAATAGTGATATAAAATCCCTTCCTTGATTCGCGTTGTTCACTCGCTTGTAGGGGTGAAACGGATCATAGTTTATCATTTACACGTGTTTCTAAGTCTTACCAATTTAAACATTCATGCACATAAAGAAGTCAGTTTGGCGCTCGCGCGCACACGCTCAAAGTGTGCACATACAGAGCGGCGTTTCAGGCAGAGCACTAACACAGAATTGATTCCTCTTTCGCTTGAACGGACACATACACGCAAAATTATCTCAAAATTACTATCTCGGCAAGCATTTTCATGTCTTGAACGTAAACAGTGGAGAAAGAAATCACACTTGCATCAATATATTGGATCTGTGCATTTGGCCTTAAAGGGCAGCAGCCTATAAATACCTGCTGTTTGAGCGCCACCTGCTGTCAGAGAGTGACATTTGCATCTCATTCAGCCCGTCTGCTGTTTTTGTTTCGTTCAGATTTTTTATTTAGTATCACAAAGCTGTGGAGAAAGAAATCGCAAGTGTATCATTATATTGGATCCGGCCTTAAAGGGCAGCAGCCTATAAATACCTGCTGTTTGAGCGCCACCTGCTGTCAGAGAGTGACATTTGCGTCTCATTCAACCCGTCTGCTGTTTTTGTTTCGTTCAGATTTTTTATTTAGTATCACAAAGCTAAAGTCAGACCATTTTGTTTTTGTTTCAAATTTCGAAATTTTACAATCGAAATATCATGTATGCAGCATCTTTGTTTAGATCGTGATTAAAATACACAGGCAAAAGCTTAGTTTACTTGCCTAGAGAAATTTATTTTATTTGTATTATTTATTTATTTCATTTGGGATTTGTTTTAAAATGTCAAGTTAGTATATTGTTTGAAATTCTCAATTTCACAAAGTAATGTGCAGCCTTTTGGTCTGAGAAATAACAAAAGGACACCTTTTTTTAAAATCTGTCTTAAATCTCATTTTGTTAAAAAAGAAATTGTGAGAAAATTGTATTGTGAATCATATCACATCGCGAGTTGAGTGAATCGTTACATCCCTATATGCTACTAGTTTTTGCTGTGGTATCGAAGTAGTAAATTGTTCTTTAAATAATAAGTGTTACTTAAATAATAAAGAACCATATTTTTTTTGCTGATCATGTGATCCGTTGCACCCGTACTCTCTTGACTTGTTATTTGAAGAAAAAATACAACATCTTTTATTCGGGCTAGTTAAATTCCTTTTCGGGCTACCAAAATCTGAAGAATGCCTGCCCAAAGGGCTACCAGGGATTTTGAAATTTTGCAAGCCCTGAAAATGTCTTGTCGTTTGGTACCAAATTTCGATACCTAAGGGGTTCATCTCATCAACGTCTGAGCCAGTAAGCATTCAGCTTAAATCAGTGATTGGCTTTGGCGAGGCATCATGGAAAACGTGTGTTACGAGACCATTCACACTGTAGCATCATACTACATAAGACGATTTATAAAATTAACTGTTTCATCTGAAAACTGAAAGACCTTTACGACAACTTGTCAAAATAAAAGCCCTGTTTAACTTGAAAAAATTATGACTGAAATATTTTACTATTGTATACTAAAATATAATTCTCAAATATTATTATTTTTAAGAAATACCATATAACCAAGCAATTTTTTCCCGTTAATTTATACAGTTCTGTTGTGCAGCATCTTGCTTGACAATAAAATGCAAGGTTTTGTTGTAAACTAATTTCATTTCATTACATTTTAAAAGAATGATCAAACTGATCGTTTTATCAATTCATTTAATTAGACACTATTTTTTTATGATAAATTAGTATTGAATCATAAAACACAGAATGTAGAACTTAGGGGAAAATAAAATGCATTTCATGGGGCCCTAAAATAAAAGGTATCTTACTCTGTGGAGTTTAATTATGAACAAACAAAGTTATGTTTACATTTATTCTCAAGATCTAACAAAAATGTGGACGGTATTTCCTTCCCCATTAACGGTAAATGAATATCGCGATAAATATCGATATCGTATGATATGGTAAAAATACTGTGGTAATATGTTTTGCAATGTCGCTCGGCCCTGTTTTAAAATATTAACAATATCTTAATTTGATCAGAACAAAATGAGTTTGGAGTAACTTGAGTGTGAGTAAATGATGACAGAATTTATTATAAGATGAACTAACCCTATAACACAGGGAAGTGTTCACAGAAGTGTCCCTTGAGCAATGACAAATTAACCCTATAAAGCCTACTGTATCATATTTGATATGCACATTTCTACGATATGATATTTACAACTTCTACAACTCTACTGCATGCCCTCTGTCGTCTGATTGATAGTTTCTACTTTTTTAGCAAGTAAATGTTTGCATGGACAGTCATTTATCGTTATTTACTCACTCAGCTCTTTCCATAGACTGACAGTTCACAGTGTTATCACATTTAATTTTGTGTAAACTATGCTTTTGATCCAATGTGTGTTTCAGATGATCAGTAAGCCTGCAGGCTCTCCAGATGTTCATGAATTTGTCATGTCTAAAGAAGACTTTGAGCGCAAGGAGATGAACAGGGAAGACATTTACACTGGCTTCATTAGAAACAGGAAGGTGAGGGAAATTCAAGCCATCTCGTGGCTTTGTTGGCCCCTGGTTTTTATTTTTAAATGTTTATGGGTCAAAGACGTTAAGATGTCTGCAACAAAAGAAATTTACAAAAGTGATTTTATGTCCATAGAAAGCACATTAAATGCAAGTAAAGTGTCCACTTTTAAGGTTTCAAATAAGTTTTTGGAGAATAAAATGTCAAATTTTTGGTTGAAATAATGTTACATTGTCATTCAGTGTAACACAATATTTATGTAAAAATTCAAACATGCTTATTCTGACACGTACATATTAAGATATATAAAAGAGTAAGGGAGCATATTAAATTTGATTGTGTTTTAAATGAGTAAAAAATTCTTACTGACAAACGGGCAAAACCTAGGATCGTGGCAAATTTAAAAAATGTAAAATTACAACTAATTAGTATTTGGGGTGAAAGTAATTAGACTTTTAATATGCCATAATTGATTTTTGTTGTAAATATGCCTGACGAGATTGTTACACTGAATGACATTTTAGTGGGTTTCTCTCGTCTCTAAATCAGGGAAAAATTTATGATATAAATTTTTTTACTCGGGAAAACAAAATTGCAATTAAATTAAACAGAAAACTTTAAACAACAACAATTTAAAGCAGTATTACACTTATTTTTTTATGCTTAAACCCTTTTTCGTGTTTTCTTTTGCAGCCTGCCGATTGCTCACATGTAAGTGAAAGTGAGGAGCAGTTTCTGCAGTCCATTGTGATGGAAGAAAAAGAAAAGCAGAGTTTTACTGCAGTTATCATCACTGGAGTCCAACAGGAACACGTCACCTTCCTGAAACACAATTTCAGTCTGTGGACCAGAGAGTTGGCGTACGTCTCAAATGCACATACATGAACTCCTCCCTTAGATCAGCGTATTGCTTTATTTATTTATTTTTTCTAGTTTTTGCACGAGAGTTGTTGCTTAAAATGTTAAGAGTTATATTAGTAGGAGTAGAATTTTATCTGTTAGGAAGTGGTGGTTAAAAAATTAACAAATAATTCTAAAGTTTAAAACTAAATTTAATATATTGTAGAGTTACAGTTTACATTACATTTATGCATTTAGCAGGTGATTTATCCAAATAAATCATTTTATCGTAATGTTACTAGATAAGGATATTTAAAATATATATATTTTTTTAATTCACAATTTCTACTGAATAAAACATTTTAGAGCTTGGCATAATTAGAAAACTGTGTATGTTATAAAATAATGGACATGGAGTTTTATGATTTTATTAATTTCCATGACGTTTTCTGGTGTAGAAAGCAAACATTGGGAATCCTGGTTCTTCAAAGAAAGAAAAAAAACATTTCTTAAGGGGTGAATTAAAATAAGAAGTCTTAACTTTTAGTTGTTTTAGTTTATTTTAATAGGTTAATCATTGTTTGCTTCACACAGCAATGAGCACAGCTAGACCTGTTACATCTGATTTGGAAACAGATGTCTTTTATGAGCCAATTCTTTTTATCCCTGCATCCAAGCTTTAGATGAGTTTTTCTTCATCAGATTTGGAGAAATGTAGCATTGCATCAGTGTCTCAGCAGTGGATGCTCTGCAGTGAATGGGTGCCGTCAGAATGAGAGTCCAAACAGCTGATAAAAACATCAAGTAATCCACACCGCTCCAGTGCATCACTTAATGTCTTGAGAAGCCAAAAGCTGCATGTTTGTAATATATTCATCATGAAGAAGTTTTACTTTTACGCTATAGTCCATAATATTGCTTTCTGCAGTGGAAAAGTCCATCCCCTGTTATCTCTGACATCAAAATCCACCCACATATTTGTTTAGAGCTGTTTTAGCTTGTAAACGGTGCTTGATCTGTGCAGATTTCTCTCCTGATTCAGACGAGATGACTTTTTTCACTGAAGGAAGTGTGAATTTGGATTATGGAGTCATATTTTAGCCAAAAGTTATGATTTGAAGTTTGAGAAACAAATCCAACGTCTTAATGATGGATTTGTTTTTTACAAACACACCGCTTTTCTCTTCACAAGACATTAACTGATGGACTGGAGTGGTGTGGATTATTGTGATGTTTGTATCAGCTGTTTGGACTCTCATTCTGACGGCACCCATTCACTGCAGAGCATCCATTGCTGAGCAACTGATGCAATGCTACATTTCTCCAAATCTGATGAAGAAACAAACTCACCTACATCTTGCATGGCTCAAGGGTGAGTTCATTTTCATTTATGGGTGAACTGGTCCTTTAAGGCCAGCCTTGGGCCACTGAATGCCGTTTGTTTTATTTCAGACATACTTACCATTACTATATACACGGAGTTCATGGAAACGACCAAAGGGAAACGAGAAAAAATGACCACGTCTCCAACATTGACATTCAGGTACAGATGTGTATGTGTTTGTGACTCTAAATGCATTGATCATTCAGTTTTTGAGTGCTTTAGAGTCCTTGTTTTTCTCTGAAGCTCTTTCTCTCTTATTTCTCAGATCAGTTTGGTGGAGCGCTCTCCTCGAATCCCGAGTATGTTGAATCTGAGGGAGGTGGATAATGACATGCAGACTCTGTACATCAACTCCAGTTTTTCCACTTTTGAGTTTAAAGCCATCGGCGCTAGAGACTCCTTTGTGGAAGGATTGATCCGTTATCACCCGTTCCTCTATGATCAGGAAACATACCCAGTGGATCCATATGCATTAGGTATTGTAAATCATAAATTGGCCATTGCACACTGATGGCAGTGTCAAAAGAGATGCTCTGATAATAGATGATTATACTAGCTGAAATAGTGTGCATTCCTAGATATCTTTTCTATGTTGGTCTGTGTGTTTGTATTTTAGGTCCTTCAGAGGATGAGGACGAAGACTGTTTAATTTTGAACTCTGAAGCTCGGGGCAAACGTCCGGTCTTTGAGTGCTTCTGGAATGGGCGGCTCATTCCCTACACCACTGTCTCAGAGTAAATGTCTGCTTAATTTTGAACATCCTTTGCAGTTGATAAATCTTCTCTTCTCAACCTGTTTTTTGCAACTCCGGCGCTAGAGACTCCTTTGTGGAAGGATTGATCCGTTATCACCCGTTCCTCTATGATCAGGAAACATACCCAGTGGATCCATATGCATTAGGTATTGTAAATCATAAATTGGCACTGATGGCAGTGTCAAAAGAGATGCTCTGATAATAGATGATTATACTAGCTGAAATAGTGTGCATTCCTAGATATCTTTTCTATGTTGGTCTGTGTGTTTGTATTTTAGGTCCTTCAGAGGATGAGGACGAAGACTGTTTAATTTTGAACTCTGAAGCTCGGGGCAAACGTCCGGTCTTTGAGTGCTTCTGGAATGGGCGGCTCATTCCCTACACCACTGTCTCAGAGTAAATGTCTGCTTAATTTTGAACATCCTTTGCAGTTGATAAATCTTCTCTTCTCAACCTGTTTTTTGCAACTTCGCTGACGCAGCGAGCATTTCATTGTTTGATGGCTATGTTTTAATTTAATTTATTTTTCAGTTCCTTGAATCCTTCTTATAAGCGTTTCATAATTTTTGACTTTTCAGTGTCAGTTCAACTTCTGGCGTATTTTACCTGTAGAAAAAACATATAGAAAACCTAATAATTATTCACATCTGAATATAAGGAGCTTCAACAACAAAACAATTACATATCACCTATATATGATTATACAACCTTAATACTAATTATTAAGATTAATGTGGTTTGGAATTAGTCCAATGTGCTTGGAACAAATATATGATCAGAATATTAATTTGCCTGATAATTACATGTGTGTAGGGCTGTCAAGTCATTAAAGTTTTTAATCTAATTAATTACATGATATGCTGATTAATTAATCTAATTAATTTTGGCTGAGAAATTACCGCCTGAAAGATTAAGTCATTATAGTGTTAGATGAGAAAAGCATTGACAAAAAGTAGCTTTAGAAAGAATTGCATAATAATGATAATAAATGGGTATTAATGTTAATATTAATATTAAAATAGGAAATGAAAAAATTAACGATACTCTCAATATCAAACTGAAACTGCCAGTATAACACGTTATTAACTTCTTGTGACTACACTCTTGCTCATGTGATATTGCCAAACATATCATATGCTATAAATACAAGACCAAAAAAAAAAGTACAGGCCAATTTTTTGCCCTCACATCTTGAATTTTAAGCTCATATAAGTGCATTCTAATAGGCTTCATCACACAGACAGTCAGTCGTCCTGAATCATGCTCATCAGCGACCGCATCAATGTAAGATGATTTACAGGTGTAGGTGGGGTGCGTTAAATGCGTTAATTTTAATATTGTTTTTTTATGTTATAATACGCGTTTATGCATTGTGTCGACACTATTGAAGCAGTTCAGACATTTGGCTCTATTCACTTTGACTGTAAGTGCCTTACTGTAATTTCAGTTTTTGCTTGTTTTAAAGAAAAGTCCAAATAAAATTTGAATGGTAATCATCGTCATAAATGTTGTCAGTTGAATCTGAAATGTCTTTATTCACATTAAATATAATGCTAAAACACATTTTTGGATTGCTGTGGATGAAGAGGTAGTTATTGATGGGGCTTTTGGGGGTAAAACAGTGAGAAATGCTGCTTCATCAAATATAAAAAATAGCACTGAAGGCAAGCAAGACTTTTGCCTGAACTGGATGGTAATGTGTGTGTGTGTGTGTGTTAGGTTCGAGTGGTGTGCAAGGCCTAAGAAAGTAGGTGCAGTGCCGCTGGAGTGTTATAACCGGATTTCAGGAGTTCTCTTCGCCAACGACCGATTCCAAGTCAGTACCAACAAACTTACCTTCATGGACCTGGAGCTTCAACTCCGTGACAACAACACCATTTTTACCAGAGTGCACAATGGCCAGGTACAGAAACACACACCTGAATTCTGAAAGACATGCACGTGATTCAAAGCTCAGTTCACACGGTCTGTGCTGTTTTATCCAGGAGCTGCGGGTGAATATTCAGAGGGAGTTTACTAACTGGTTAAAAGAATGTCATGAGCGCTTCGACAAGCAGGTATGTGTAAGGCCAGGGCAGCAAACGCAGGTGTAACTGCACGATCAGTGCATTGTAAGTGCTTAATGCACGCTTTTGCATTTATAAATATTTGGCAAGGAAAATCCCTCAAATCAAAGGCATTGCATTTATTGTGACAGATGAAAGTGTTAAATATTAAACATTTTTAAAAATTGACTTTATAAGTCAATAGAAGGGTTGTTTTTTTATTATTGTAATTATTATACTGAATATAAGCCTATCACTGGCCTACAGTCCACAGCAATCAATTTCGTAACTGTGTTGCCAGCAAATACAAATACCAAAGTTTTGAAGCTTCCATTGTTAGAACAAAATTGAATTATATTCACTCACTCCAGTATTTTATCATGTTATTCTGGTTAGACATTGAGATGGCAACAACTAGTTTTTTTTGTGTTTGTTTGCAGGTGATGTTTCAGGGATTTAAGGGTTCGATGACGCGTACAGATGTGCCCACCAAACGGCAACAGTCACCCTGGGCTGTATTCCAAGCCATTAAGTGGGATGGCAAGACTTATAAGAAAGGACAATGTGTGAGATCGAGTAGTTTTCATATTTTCATATTATAGTCATAGACGACACCAGTGTAGAGGAGTCGAAGAAAATGACTGATTACTTTTGCATAATAGCTGAATGTGGATTATTGAAAGAAAATTATTGTAAGCAAAATAAAGCTGAACATTCTTCACACCAAGGACGATTACTATAAAGATGATGATAAAGATATAGTTCTAAAAATCATTCTCAATATTAAAGAATAGCATAGTTCACACCACAACTAACAATAAAGACAAAGAGAAACGATATCGTTGCAGTCACTTTCAAAGCGATTTTTCTCCAGGTGAAAATGACTGATTACTTTTGCATAATAGCTGAATGTGGATTATTGAAAGAAAATTATTGTAAGCAAAATAAAGCTGAACATTCTTCACACCAAGGACGATTACTATAAAGATGATGATAAAGATATAGTTCTAAAAATCATTCTCAATATTAAAGAATAGCATAGTTCACACCACAACTAACAATAAAGACAGAGAAACTATATCGTTGCAGTCACTTTCAAAGCAATTTTTCTCCAGGTGATGAACGATGAAAAATTGACAGCCAATCAGAATCCATCCTGCCGTAACAAGCTCGAGAATTTAAAGCAGCAGACGAACGTGCGCTTAGAATAAACAGACGATATCGTTATCGTTCTTAGTGTGGTGATTCCACAGTATTTTCCCAGCTGTTGTAAAGCATCATACAGACTGTATAAATGTGTAATTAGTATCTTTAGTTGTGTCAAGAAAGTCTGTAACATAAAAATGTGTATATGAATCAGGTCATTTATTAAATTATGAATCATAGGTTGTAATTCTAGTCATCTCAGATATTTTCTTTCACACTTTTAGGTGAAGTCAGTAAAGACGAACCCTGTCTTCGTTGGCTCTATAGTTCATTTCTTGCTCTACGGAGAGCATGAAGGAGACGTGTATGCCACAGGAGGATATGTCCAGATTGCATTGGTGAGGATGATTCAGCTCACTCGTCCATTTACTCTGTATGGATGCAGTGTGGTCACATGTTTTTCCTCCGCCTCTGAGTGTGCTTGAATGTAGGAATGCACCGATATTTTGGCTGATACCGATAACCGAAAATTATTTGTATTTGAAAGCCGATAACCAATATGTTGGTATAAATCCAAATTTTTTGATAATTTTTGAGAGCCTGATTACAAAAACAAGCCATTAATAGCCATGTCCCAAGCACTTTTACATGAATCAAACATATCCAGTACAGTAGCCTAGTTTTAAAATTAATTTTAGACTCCTATTGGGCCATTAAATGTCAACTTTCTTAATCAAAAAAAAAAAATCATATTCTCATTATCATTTTAAATAGCCAATATGACAGACCGTTGCCATGCACATGTTGCACTTAACTGTATTTTCTTTTTCGAAATAATTCCAATCATATTTCAAGCAATTCTAAACCTTAATGGTGAACAGTTTGCATCTGAAGTGTTTCAGAAATAATCCATTATTAATCGGCTTTAATATATCAGCCAAATTTTCTTAACGGGTCGATAACGATGATATTAAAAATTGCGGTTTTGCTTTGGTATACGTCTCTGTGATGTGTTTTCATAGGAACCGAAGGAGTTGTATGATGAGGTAAGGATCATTCCCATCTCTAAGATCGACAGGCTGGCCGCAGCCGCAACCATTAAGAAGAAAATCGAAGATGAGCTCGCAAAGTAAGGCCTGCTGCTGGATTCTGCATTTCACCTTAACAGTAAAGAGAATTAAAGAGCATCTGCTCTGAGTTTGGGTCGCTTTATTGTGCATTTGGAAACACCAACCATCTCCTCATACTTGTAATGAGAAGCACTTATCAACAAAAGAGCAGCTTTAAGGGCTTCCTGTGGTTCTCCATCAAAATAAAAGTTTGATGCTTTAACATTTGAGAATGAAAAAATTAAGACAGCCGTAAATGTCAATATTGTAATAAATAATGTACAATAAAATGATTATCTTATGTTTTACTTGGTTATAATATATATATACAGTATATAGTACACTGACTTTCAAAAGATTGGGATCAGTAAGATTTTTCAGCATAAATCAGTATATTAGAATGATTTCTGAAGATCATGTGACACTGAAGACTGGAGTAATGATGCTGAAAATACAGCTTTGATCACAAATAAATTATATTTGAAAGTATATTAAAATAGGAAACAGTTATTTTAAATTGAAATAATATTTCACAATTTTAATGTTTTTTTCTGTATGAAAAAGCCTTGATGAGCATTGCATTTCATAGTTTTATAGTTTATCTCATAGTTAACTGCTACTATATATATAGTTAACTATAATTGAATACTATAATAAAAAATATAATTACTAAATAATAATAATAATTGTTATTATAATTATTATGTAGTCAAATTTAATTTAGCCAAATTGTGCAGCCATACAAGCAAACACAGCAAACCTAGATTTTTTATCGCAATCACAGTTTTAGCTGTATAATCGGTAGCCCTAGCTTATTCTGTTCTCTTTTTCTTTTTAAATAATTTTCTTGTCATCAGACTTCCAGACCAGCTGAGGGTTACGTGGCCTGAGGGAAATGCTTGGGCTGAGGATGGTGCTCGTCCGGCTGGCACACTCATGGGTGAACAAACTCACACACATACAAACACTTTGCAGTGCAAAACTTACAGTGCATTGGCCGACAATATTAACTTTATTACATGATTTAAAAAGCCCATAATATGCTTTCACCAAAAACAGCTCCTGCACCTAATCCTGCACTACAGACCTGTAGAGAAATTACCTTGACTTTGAGTTTTTAGTATAAATCTGTTCTTTTTCAGGTCCGATTAAAGTGGAGATTTTGAACAAAAAAGGAGATCCAGTGTCTCGGCTGCCCGTGGCTGGCACTACTAAGAAACTGTTGATTGAGCTGAAAGTCATCTGGCACTGTGAGTTGCATTTACTCCATTATTGTTTGTAGTCAGGGCATGTAATTTTATCATGTTTTTTTGTATGCATGTGTATATTTATATATGCAACGACATGCATATTATTCATATATATTTTTGTAATGTTTATGCACAGTATGCTTGTGACATACAGTATTTTTATCTCCTTCAGCTCCTAAAGGAGACGTCCAGACAAACTCCTACATTGGTGCTCATTCATCCAAGTGGGAATACTGGTTCAAGTCCATGGGTAAAAATCAGCGAATCATCACATGTTCATATTCGATTCCATTCATTCGCCATATTTATGCCCATCAACAGGGTAAAGTAATGCTGGTGATTGCAAAAGCATATGAATGGAGATATCAAGAAAAAAAAAGATGAATATTGGATTTGATCCATACCAGGTTCATTCGTAGACATTTATATTTAATCCACAATCCCTCTTTATTTATAGCATTGCATGCAGAGAGAGGCAGGGTAACACTTTATTTTAAGGTGTCCATGTTACACATGCTACATGTACTTACTATTATAATAACAATTAAATATGCATAATTACATGCAAGTAATCCTAAACTAAACCCTAATCCTAACCCTAACTATATGGTAAGTACATGTAGTTTATTAATATTACACAGTACTTGTAGTTCCAATATTTACTAATATTTTCAAAATCAAAAGTTGTATCTGTTATTTAATGTACCTAAGCTAACATGATCTAACAATGAACAGTTGTATTTTAATTAACTAACATTAACAAAGATTGTAATTTAATACTGTAATGTATTGCTCATTGTTAATAATGTATTAACTAACATTATCTAATGGGACCTTATTGTAAAGTGTTACTGCTGTATTTTGTACGTGATTAAAACATGCTTCTTTTAAACAAATGATATATATATATATATATATATATATATATATATATATTATTATTATTATTATTATTTTTTTATTATTTAAATGCTTCAGCATACTAAAAAAAATACTGTTTATTATTGAAAAAAACTGGGAAATTCTAATTAAAATGGATAATTAATATACAAATGTTTGTTTATAATTGATAATTAATATTTATATTTTAGTCAAATTGTCAGTGTACTCCGAAAGAGTGTCTGTGATCAGTTTTCTTCTGTAATCTATAGACAAACAACTTAATTACATCAAAACTATTATATTAAAATAATCTTTCCTGTTGCTTAACTGATAGTATTGCTATCAGTGTTTTGACTTTTTTGTTTGTCTGTTTACATTCATGAAATTAGGACTTACTAGTACAGTTTTTGGGTTTGCTGTACTTCTCGTAGAATAGTAAATCATTGTGTTCACTTCCAGGGAATCTCAGTAAGCTTGGGAAGTACACACTGCATCTGCAGACCATGCTGGGTGACAACTCTGCCAGCGAATGGGCTGGAAAAAGACTCCCCTACTACACCCTCAATTTCTCTATTAAAGGTAAAACACACAAACACACTGGCCCTGTTTACACCTGTGCTGAATTCAGAACTGCATACTACTCTTGTGTTCCTTCCATAGCAAGATGAGATACAAAAATAGTAAGAGTAGTATGCTACTATGTGGTGCCAAGATCCTTAGGTGATCTGAGCGATTACATGAGCTGTTTATACCTGGAAGTATTGTGTGACAGCTGTGTTTTGTGACCACTTGTGATCGCATTTCTGTTTGAGTTGACATCACTGTTGCTTCACTTCCTGTCCAGCTACTGACCTATCAAAATAAAAAAGGCAAAACGCCAAAAAAAAATTAATATAAAAAAAGAAAAAGTGTGTCCTTCTCCCTGGTACGCTTGAAATTGCAAGCACAAACTCAACAATATTCAGTTGTGTATATTAGTGTTGTCAAAAATGTCGATATTTCTATTAGGGGTGTAACGATACACGTATTCGTATTGAACCGTTCGGTACGAGGCTTTCGGTTCGGTACGCATTACAAACCGAACGATTCGTTGGAGTAATCCTATTACATTTGGTGACAAAAAAGAGCTTAATGTGTGAAATATAATGTACTCCAGATTGTGACGGTGTGGTAGTTCGTTAGAGTTTTCCCTCATTTCCGAAAATAAAAACTGTATAGACCTTTAATAAAAACAAATACCTAATAAAAATGACAAAAACACAGAACAAATTTACTAAAACTTTAACTACAATTAAAATAGAAATACAAAGACTAATTTAAAATCTGAATAATAACTACAATAGTGTCTCAGACTTGACTTGAAGTAAATCATCTCCTGTCAGATGCCTTGTTAAATTCTCACTTTTTGTCTCCTTTGTTTGCTCCAACAGAAGGTGAAGCGATATCTTTTGTTCTAGGTGTCATTTCATCTCCCGTCCATTTCGGAGTTCCTTTCAGTATTCCTCTAGATTTTAGGGATGAGTTTGATTATCCCACCCAGCCACCCTGTGACATTAAACCCCAGCTGGAATGTAGGTAGGTCAAAGTGGATACACTCAAGCTCTGTAGAAATCTACATACTGTAGAAATGTCCTAACTTTGTCTGACCATGGATTTAAGCCTTTCCACCCTTTCCTGTTGCTGTTCATTGCTTTATACTGTTATTAACCAGTGTTTGATGGGTTATGCATGATGGGTTAGTTTTTCTTAAGCATTGGGACACTGTGTGCAAAATAGATGACAAGTCTGAAAACAAGGTCCAAAAACAAACCAACAAAAGTGTTACAAGCTCTTGGTGCATAAAGACGATCTGTAAAGTTGCAAAGACTAAATTCTCAAATCCAAAGAGATATTCTTTATAAAAGTTAAGTCAGCCACACCTAACTAAAACGGCTCGTTCTAACACGCCCCCACATGTCTACGTCACGATGTGGGAAGATTTGCATAACGCCGCCCAAATATTCACGCAAAGAAAGAAGGCGTAACTTTTATTCTCGCTGTAGTATTGTTGCTGCCATGTCAGAATCAGAATCAGAATGAGCTTTATTGCCAGGTATGTTTACACATACGAGGAATTTGTTTTCATGACAGAAGCTTCCACAGTGTAACAGAATGACAGTGACAGAACAAAAAACACAGAAAAAAAAATATAAAAAAAAAATAGAACAAGTAAATAAGGAATAAAAATATATAAATCGACAATTGTATGTGCAGGTATATTACAATAGACAGTTTTTGTATGTACAGGTACTGTATATTATGTCGTGAAGGCGCTGTGGTTCGTCGTGAAAGCGAAACTACTTTGTTTGGTCTTCCAAAAGAGGACAATATCCGCTTCGTCATGCCTGGAGCTGATCCGTGCTGGTCGCTGAGGAAATACATCAACTTTGCGCTGTGGCTCGCCGGATCGGCTTTCAATGTGGACGAAGCGGAGTCCAGCCCGGAGTCGTCATATGTGGTTGCCGCAAGCCCTCCGGACGCTCCTTCGTCGAATCCACCGGCCCCCGCTCACTCTAGCCCGCCGGCTAGAAACTACTTTGTTTGGTCTTCCAAAAGAGGACAATATCCGCTTCGTCATGCCTGGAGCTGATCCGTGCTGGTCGCTGAGGAAATACATCAACTTTGCGCTGTGGCTCGCCGGATCGGCTTTCAATGTGGACGAAGCGGAGTCCAGCCCGGAGTCGTCATATGTGGTTGCCGCAAGCCCTCCGGACGCTCCTTCGTCGAATCCACCGACCCCCGCTCACTCTAGCCCGCCGGCTAGAAACTACTTTGTTTGGCCTTCCAAAAGAGGACACAACTAGAAATCAGTGGTTAAGTTGTATTTACAACACTGTTCCAGAACAGTTCAACCCAAATATTCAGATGTGTGCAGCACATTTTATTGAGGACTGTTTACTGATCCTGGTAGAGTAGACTACAATGCCGGCTGTTCTGACTCACAGACTGTAAGTACGTTTTTTTATATTAAAGAATTTGCCACTGACGATTCAAACGTGAGTTTTGAGCAGTGTAGAGTTACTTGTTTGTTGCTTGTTGTTTGTAATTTCTCCGATCACAAATGCAGACATGGTTTTGTTTACGCGGCGCGATGCAACGCAATGCATAAAAAGACAGTATAAGTCATTATAATCAGTAATTATGTCCCCACTGGATGCAACAAATGCCTCGTTTATAATGGGTTTTAATGTTTTTGTCTTGTCGCTCTGGACGGGACAAGGCATCACAGTAGGGTGAGGGGTGTAACATTTCCGTCACACGCTTGAAGTATTCAGCCAATCACAACGCACTGGATAGCTGGCCAATCACAGCACACCTCACTTTTCAGACTGATGAGCTTTGAAAAAATCGACGCGTTTCAGAAAGGCGGGACATAGAGGAGACACACTTCATTACACCAAATACACAAAGTAATGTTCTTTTTCGCAACATCATATGACCCCTTTAAAATAAAATAAATAAGTGAGAAAACAGAATTCTTAAAACAAAATAACAATCAGAACACAAAACTTATGTCATTTTCCTTCTCAAGTCAAAGCATCTTTATTTAAGAATCTTCAGACATTTGCACTAGAAAACAAGACCAAAATACTGCAGAAGAACATCACTGGTGCAGTGTGATCTGAAAGTAATGCAACACTTTTACACTTGCTGATACGAGACATTTAAATTTAGAGACCATATTGTCGTATTGTTCCATTCAGTTTATTCCTTAAATTTTCATTACTTGTTCCTAAAAAGCTTTAAATTTTCCTTCATAAAACCTGCAGAAACAATGTACCTGAATCAATATTGAATTGATTTGAGAGCTTATGAAGATCTTTTAAGTGACTGTCTTTGTGTGAGTCACTGAATTATTCACTCAACCAGTTCTTTAATAAACAGGAATGGTGCTACTGCATTTTGTTTAGATGTGCAGTGATTAATTCTGTTGTGGTTTTGTTTGTAACCCTTTTTGCTGGCAGAGAATCATGTGACATTGAAATCATATTGCATAATGTACTCCCTTCATATGTGTGTTAATGTGAGTTTCTGTCTTGGAAATTACATTTTTGTGTGTTTTTCTGATGGTAAAATCTTTCTCATTAGTTCACTAGAGCTGAGTTATGAGAGGATCATATTTGGGACCACTTGTGTCATCAAAAATGTGAGGGCCAAGGGAAAGATGAGTCATCAAAACAAGGTTAGCATTGTGTTAATTAATAATAATGTTATCACTTTGGAAATAGTTTCACAATAATCACAGTTGGTCATGAGTCTCAAGCATTGAGTTAACCAGTAATAACTGGAGTGTATTAATTAATCAAAGCATAAACAATAAGAAGATAAGCACAATAAGAATCAATAAGAAGGTATCTCTGTGTGTTAATCAAGAGAGAAAGGGTTTTCTGAAGTCTGTGGTCAGGAATGTATTTGATATGGTGTATGGGATTGTATAACCAACATATACTGTATAATGAGAATGATATGAAGGGGTTTTTATGTTTGCATTGACACTGGTAGCACAAAACTTGGATGTGTGTGTGATATTTTTGACAGATGTACACAGTGAAGGTGCACATCCCCGGGCTGAAGCAGGACAGCCAGTCTCTTCAAATTGTTCTGCAACCTGGTATGACAGAGAACACAGAAACTGCAATAGAGAGAGGAAATGTAAAAGCAGCATGTAAAAACCAGATGACATTTATCTTCCAGGCCCTCCGCACACTCTTGTGGTGTTTCCAGATGGTGATGTGCTCTCTGTTGAGAATCGAACTCCAGCAAACTTCAGAGTTGAGATTCACGATGAGTACCAGAATATCACCACTCATCCTAAACTCAGCGTCCGCTGCCAGGTAGCTCTCATCGAAAAACACACAACACACACTTACTGAATTTGAGTCATTTAGCAGTTTTATTCATATGTGACCCTGGAGCACAAAAGCAGTCTTAAGTCGCTGGGGTATATTTCTAGCAGTAGCCAACAGTACATTGTATGGGTCAAAGTTATCTATTTTTATTTTATGCCAAAAATCATTAAGATAGTAAGTAAAGATCATGTTCCATGAAGATATTTTGTAAATTTCCTACCGTAAATATATCAAGACTTAATTTTTGATTAGTAATATGCATTGCTAAAGACTTCATTTGGACAACTTAAAATTTTCTCAGTATTTAGATTTTTTTTGCTCCCTCAGATTCCAGATTTTCAAGTAGTTGTATCTCAGCCAAATATTGTCCTATCCTAACATACATCAATGGATAGCTTATTTATGCAGCTTTCGGATGATATATAAATCTCAATTTCGAAAAAGTTACACTTAGAACTGGTTTTGGGGTCCAGGGTCACATATGGTGAATGCACAAACATCTACTCAACACTCATATTGACCTGTGTAATTTGGGACATAGAGTTGTTTTTATAGAGAGATAATTAAAAAAAATATATATGTTAACCTAGGGTTTCCTAAATGAGGGTTCAGGAGTGGATGAAAAGTAATTAAATTGAATTTAAAATGAAAATAAATAAATGCGGTTGCACAATTGATTGAAATAAAACTGAAATCTTGATATATATTAGTGCGATTATCAAATCAAATGCTATCAAATTAAAAATAAGTATATACCGTATTGACTCGAATATAAGACAATGTTTTTTTCTTGGAAATACATCTGAAAAAACGCGGTCATCTTATATTCAGGGTCTAGACTTTGACATGTCAATAATACACCCACAACAATAGGTGGCGCCAAATACGCATAAAACGAGTGTGCCATGAAATACGTAATGTAATGCGTGTTGTAAAGATTGCGAGTAAAAACAAAGGAAAAAGAAAAGCTTACAGCTGCATGAGTCGTGACTGTCACTTTAGCCTGATGGGACCAAACTCCCTTTGTGATTTTAAAACGTAAGACAGTACCCAGATTTGAAGACTACAGTAAGATTGAACTTCTACTGTTAATAAGATTTTGGTAGGCTACTATTAGATGGATAGCCTAAATGTCCTAATTCATGTTTTTTTTTTTTATGGTATATCAAAAAGTGTATATTTTTTAAATGTGATTGTTGGTACATTTGACCAGTTTTTTACCATACTTTCAAAACAAAAATTAAAATAGGAAAAATATGCAACATGAAGATAATTGAAGACAAAAAACAAGATTTGGTTTTTAAAAAGCTTTTTTCCGAAAGGTACATCTGGAAAAAGGGGGGTCGTCTTATCTCGATATAATTTTCCTTGATAAAATTACTGCAAAAGTAAGATAACTATAATAATTTTTATGCACTGTGCTAATTAGTGATGCACCAAAATTATGGCAACTGAACAGTGATGTTTCATTGATGTTTCAACATAGATAAACTACAAGAGGTAAACATGTCAGCTGCATGGACGCTAGTGCTAGATCAACAATATCAATTTCTCATTTTTAATCAATATTGATATTGATTATTAAATCTCTGTTGATGTGTGAACATCACTAAACTTTATTTGTAGCACCTGCCATCCAATAATTGCAATAAGCTTTGTGCTTTACTTTTAATATGAAATAAAGTCTTAACTTTCTGTAAATTTTAGCATGTAATACGAAAAATAAATGTGGTTTTGACACTCTTTAGTGTCATGTGACAGATCGCTGTATCCACATCAGTTCTGGATCGACACATGAACCCATCATCTTTTCCTCTTTACTATTAGTTATAGCACAAAATAAACATGAATGAACATGTCATCACTCAATCAGTGTTTCCACCACAGAAAGATGCCAAACAATACAAAAGACGTGCATTTACCTCAGGAAAGCCAGTGTCCATAAACTCAAAAGTCAGCTATAAAAAATAACTAGAGAGGAGCATGTTGATAAATACATGCATATTACATATCTATTAAATTTGGCATGATTTATTATTATTGTTATGTTAGTAGTTGACCAGTTGCATGTTTCATCTCTGCTTGGAAAAAGCTTATTTAATTTAACTTTTGTCAGGTTAATTCTATGAAAGACCTTCCATTGAATGGCACAGGAGTACAGTTCACCTTCTGATTGGTAAATGTGTGTTTGTAGTTGCTGGGAGCCCCTGATCTGCCCGTGGACGTTGTGGACTGCAGTAACACTGGCTCTGGAGTCCTGCTGACCAAACCACTTCTGCTGAAGACCGTAAACGCTGAGCAGATCCTTACTGCTAAGTTCAACATTCCTGTAAGATATTGTACATCATTTGCTCCTTTTTAAAATCAGTTTATTATATATGTGTGCTTTTAATTCAGAAGCATGTTGCTTCATGTGCATTTAATCCAGATACACATTAAATGAAAAAATACATATTTAATATGGATGCACATTATATTTGTGACTTTATCACCATTTGCCATCAGCGTTTTATCAGTAATGTCCAATTTGGATGAAATTGGAAGCAAATAAAACTAGACCTTTTTTCTATATATATATATATATATATAAAAAAAAGAAACTTTTTTTTTTTTAAATCTGAGATATTAAGTGATCTGTCTTTTCTACTTTAAATTTAAATTTCAGTGTTAGATTTATAGTGATAAACTATTTTGTTGGCCACAATAATGTTTGCCAGCTCTTCATTTTGTCAGTTTCAAAATTATCCAACGTCTGTCTACTATTAAATACTGTTTTTCACATTTTTTGAGAAGTGTGTGTGTGTGTGTGTGTGTGTGTTGATCAGGATAAGGGTTCAGTTATTGTTCAGAACAGTTTTTTTTTGTTTCCTTTGCTTTCAAAGTGTGTATAAAATCTAGATAATCCACATCATGGCTTTGTATAAAGCCACTCAGAGTAAAATTCAGCATATCTATTTTATAAATGAACGATTCTTCTGTTCGTATCTTTACTTTATTTATTTCTTTTTTTGGCCTCATGAATGACATTCTAATGACATTCCATGCTGTATAACTCAGAGTGAAGATGTTAGTGAATCTTTCATAATAGTAAAGTATATAAATGGTTTAATCTGTTAACTGGTTTAGCTGTTTGACTTGATTTCCTCATGATTAAGTGCATTTTTGCGTTTTTGCTCGTAGAACCACAGGACAGTGGCGTGTGTGGAACGTAAGCTGCGCATCTTGCCCAGCTCACGAATATCCCGTTTTGAGGTCTACAGACAGGAAGAGGGCTCTGAGGATGTCATGGTGCTGCAAAACGGCGAGCGCATTGATTGGACGGCAGGAGACACTCTAGGAAACCTGCGCTTCAGACTGTATGATGAGGGCAATAGACTGGTTTCCCTTCGGCCGAAACTCACCACCAAGATTAAGGTGAGAGTTTGACTGTCTGTGATTCGTTTTCTTTGCATAGTGTGTCATTCAGGTTTATTTTTAGTGACTGAATCTGTTTGCACTGACACACTGTCATACTCGGTTGCCCCCAAAAATTGGCTCAACAAAATGAAAGATTTAATGATGCAGATTTTCGCACAAGTCCTGAAAGACTTCTGATGATATATTGGGTCATTTATGCAGTAGGGCTGTGCGATTAATCGAAATTGCGATTTGAGACGTTGCGATTTCCTAATCGCAAAGCCTGCGATATGGACACGATATTACTCTGTTCCAGAGCATATGCATGACTGCCAGCCTTGAGTTGCAGTCTTACTAACCAATAGAGTGAGCGCACCTCCGTTCTCCCCAATCAGCACTGCTCTAGCCAACTACGTAAACACCCACCATTAAAAAAAAACAGAAAGCGGGAGAGACAGAGTGGGATTATGGCGTCTACAGGGTCAGATCGATAGTTAGGCAAATTAAAACTAAAGAAAAACGTATGCAACTTAAGCTTCGAAATGACAGACAACGAACAAAAAAGGTAATCTGCAAGAGCTGCGTCACAGCGCATATCAAAAGCTCCCTTCTCGTTTCTGTTTTCAGTACTGGTGAATAAAAGATACATTCTTAGATGTTTTTGTTAGTACGTGAACGTTATCTTGCACATTTTATCTCCCCAACAGATTAATTTGAAATAAGTTTATGATGCATGTTCGCTATTCCCAATTCAGAAGAGCGTACACACAGCCTGTGTCTGTGAATGCTTCTCATACTCGCTCCTCTCTGCCCCAC